GTTAGCCTATCCACGATCACCCAGATTGAGTCATGATTTCTGACCGTGCGTGGTAGATGGGTCACGAAATCCATGGATATGCTATCCCATTTCCACTCAGGAATTTCCAGTTGCTGCAGTAGGCCGCCCGGTCTCTGGTGTTCTGCCTTTGCTCGTTGACAAGTCAAGCAGGATGCTACAAAACGAGCAATGTCACTCTTCATTCCTGGCCACCAGAAAGAACTCCGGAGATCCTGATACATCTTAGTCATACCCGGATGTATACTAAGACGGCTATGATGCCCTTCCTCCAAGATAATCCTCTTCAGGTCTCCATCATTTGGGATGCACGTCCGGCCCTTATAACGTAAGAAGCCGTCCGTTCCAGTGTTAAACTCCTTGGCCTGATCCGTATCGAGTACGTCTAATATCTTCACTAACTCTTCATCCTCTCGTTGCTTCTTTCTGATCCGCTCGAACACGTCGCTGGATATCCTAAGGTTACAACACTTGATACTATTCGGCTCCAACTCGAATTGTAACCTTAGATCTCTAAAGCTTTCAACCAGGCTGAGTTCTTTAACCATCATAACTGAGACGTGAACTGCTTTCCTGCTTAGGGCGTCCGCCACTACATTCACTTTTCCCGGATGATACAGCAGTTCAAAGTCGTAATCCTTCAAGAACTCCAGCCAACGCCTCTGCCTCATGTTCAACTCCTTCTGATCAAATAAGTATTTGAGGCTCTTGTGATCACTGAAGACTTGGAACGTGGATCCGTACAAGAAATGCCTCCAAATCTTCAGTGCGAAAACGAGCGTTGCCAACTCCAAGTCGTGTGTTGGGTAATTCCTCTCGTGAATCTTCAATTGTCGAGAAGCGTACGCCACTGCTCGTCTCTCTTGCATCAGTACGCAACCCAGACCTTGGTGAGACACATCACAATACACTTCGAAAGGTTTGGCCGTGTCTGGAATGACCAACACTGGAGCGCTCGTCAATTTCACTTTCAACTCTTGGAAGCTGGCTTCACAACGATCGGTCTAAGCGAACGACTGATCTTTACGAGTCAACTGAGTTAGCGGCGCTATTATCTTAGCAAAGCCTTCAATGAAACGTCTGTAGTAGCCCGCCAGTCCAACAAAGCTACGCACCTCAGTGACCGAACGTGGACTCTCCCATTCCAGTACCGCTCGCACTTTTGCTGGGTCTACCGAGATGCCTCCAGCCGACACCACATGCCCCAAAAACTGAATTTCCTTCATCCAGAATTCACATTTAGACAACTTGGCATATAACTCCTTCTCCCGTAACACTCCAAGTACAAGTCTAAGATGCTCCTCATGTTCGTCTTCGGTCTTGGAATAGATGAGAATATCATCTATGAAGACGACCACAAACTTATCCAAATAAGGCCTGAAGATGCGATTCATATACTCCATGAACACTGCTGGAGCGTTCGTTACTCCAAATGGCATCACCACGTATTCATAATGCCCATAGCGAGATCTGAACGCTGTCTTCTAGATGTCATCTTCCTTAACTCTGATTTGATGATATCTGGATCTCAAATCAAATTTTGAGAATACTGCAGCCCCATGCAATTGATCCAGCAAGTCATCTATCCTTGGCAACGGGTACTTGTTCTTGATGGTCAGCTTATTCAATTGTCTGTAGTCTATACATAACCACGAGCTGCCATCCTTCTTCCTTACTAAAAGCACGGGCGCTCCCTAGGGTGATACGCTCGGCCTAATGAATTGCTTCTCCATCAACTCTTCAATCTGCTCCTTGAGTTCAGCTAACTCCGCAGGAGACATCCGATAAGNACAAACTTATCCAAATAAGGCCTGAAGATGCGATTCATATACTCCATGAACACTGCTGGAGCGTTCGTTACTCCAAATGGCATCACCACGTATTCATAATGCCCATAGCGAGATCTGAACGCTGTCTTCTAGATGTCATCTTCCTTAACTCTGATTTGATGATATCTGGATCTCAAATCAAATTTTGAGAATACTGCAGCCCCATGCAATTGATCCAGCAAGTCATCTATCCTTGGCAACGGGTACTTGTTCTTGATGGTCAGCTTATTCAATTGTCTGTAGTCTATACATAACCACGAGCTGCCATCCTTCTTCCTTACTAAAAGCACGGGCGCTCCCTAGGGTGATACGCTCGGCCTAATGAATTGCTTCTCCATCAACTCTTCAATCTGCTCCTTGAGTTCAGCTAACTCCGCAGGAGACATCCGATAAGGCTGAACCGAGATAGGAGCTGCCGTCATCACCAAATCAATGGTGAATTCAACTTCACGATGAGGGGGAAGTCCAGGTATTTCTTCCGGAAAAACGTCCGGGAAGTCATCCACGACCGTTCGTCCTTCACTGTACTTGTTATTGGACGAGCGTTCTTGATCCATCCATCTTACTTCCTCATCCGAGTGCGTCATAATCAGAAAACAGCTGGCGCCCTCCATAATATCTTCTTTCAATTGACCGAGCGTCACTGACAACACCTCTTCTTCTTCACCAGGGAAAATTAATTCCTTCTTACCACAATCAATAAGAATGCGATCGGTAGCCAACCAATCCATTCCTAAAATCACCTCCAAACCTTGAAGAGGTAAGCAGATGAGGTTAACCTTAAACTCACGCCCTTCCACTTCTATAGGACACCTGACGCACATAGTGGACGTCCTAACCTCACCAGCCGCTGGGGTAGACACCACCAGGTCGAACTGCATTTCTCTCACTTCTAAACCCAGTTTGCCAACGCACTCCTTCGAGATGAAGGAATGTGTTGCTCCCGAATCAAACAATACACATCAAGTTCTACCATATACTAAGCATGTGCTGACGATGAGTGTACCTGAGCTGGCTGCCTCAGTGCCCGTTATTGCGTATACACGCCCACTCGCTTGGGCTCGTCCACCTCTTGGCTGATTCCTTCCAACATTGGGTGGCCTCATCACTGCACGTCCACCCATATTGCACTCGTGATCCAAGTGCCCGTTCCTTCCACAACGGTTGCAGTGCCTTCCTCCCACCAGCTGAGGGCATGAAGAACGATAATGTGGCCCTCCACACCGGAAACAAACAACGTTTCCTTGTCCAGACTGTCCGACAGGAACCATTGCTTGTGACCCGCTTGCATTAGAGGGTTGGTTCGGACGAGCGTAAGGAGGTCTCCTCTGAACAGTACCTCCCCTGGACACGATCGGTCCCCTACTCACTTGTTGCTGCTTCTTCTGTCGTTCCGCCTCTGCCATATTTTTCTCCAATACCTTCGCTCGCTCAACCATAGCAGGAAACGACCGGATGCACAAACTGGAAATCAAGACCTTCAAATCACTCCGCAGTCCGTTCTCAAATTTCCTGCACTACCACTCCTCACTGGTGGCCATCGTATTGAACCGAACAAGGTGCTTAAACTTATTTGTATACTCAGAAACCGACATCCCACCTTGAACCAGCTGCAAAAACTCTACTTCCTTCGCAAAGCGGACGCTGTCAGGGAAATACTCCTCATAAAATTTGCCACGGAACACTTCCCAAGTGATTGGACGTTGGGCGTCTGCCAGAATAGCCCTTGTGGTCGCCCACCAGTGGCTTGCTTCCCCAGTCAACAAATATCAGTGAACGCCAAACGGTTCTCATCTGGACACCTCTTGGCATTGAAGATCCTCTCCATGTCCCTTAACCACTGATCCGCCTCGTCAGGGAGGCCCTTTCCACTAAACTTAGCCGGATGGTGTTGGAGGAAACTCTCCAAGCTCCACTCAGCAGTAGGCTGGGCAGCGTTGGAAGAGGACGCCCCCGGAGTGTGTCTGGTTGCTGCTAAAATTTCCATTAATTGTTTTTGGATCGTTTCAGAGTTGGCACGAGAGGCCTCCAAACTCTGCATAACGTTCTGGTTCTGCTGCATCAGTGTGGCGTTCTGCTCCATTAACGTAGTATTCTGTTGCTGCAGTCTATCAATTACAGTCTCCAACAACCTAGAATTGTTGGACGTATCAGGCTCATTAGGTTGAGGTTGAGGTGGAGGAGGGAGTCTAGGTGCCATTTGTTCTCTGGACACAGAGAAAAACGAACGTTAGTCATGTTCAAAGAGTTGAGAAAATAACTCATTTAAACACATATTAAGCACACAGCAAAAACACAGTGCACTCATAATCTACAGTGTCCTTTAAGAGAACAAAACTGCTCTGATACCACTAATGTAACATCCCAAAATATAGTAATTACCATAATCAGAATTAATTACATTTAATCAGTAAAACAGTGCAGTCTTTACATTACTAACGAGGTTCAAAAAGTCGAACGGCTTAAAGTACAGAAATTATAAATAATACAGCAGTAGTAGGAGTTCAGAGACGAACGGTTTTACAAAACATAATCGAACGTTCAAAAATAGAACTGAAAGACTAAAATAAAACCTAGCGAGCGCTCTAAGGCTCGGCTTTAACTTCTACTTCCACCAGATTAGCGTCTTCCAAATTTTCTTCTTCTAGCGTCTCTTCAAGTGACGCATCTCCATATGCTCACATCCACACGGATGATCATTGCAATGATAGGACGAACGTACATAGACAACAGACAACACAAGAAAAAACGAAAGGGTAAGCTTAAGTAATTTAATTTATACATCAACATATACACTAACATTTCAATTCACACAAGCACATAACTCAACATATAACATCATCCAAAAATATATATATATAAATTCTAGACCGACCGTCCGGACTGTATGAATCTGTGTAGTTACAAGCGTCCTTGCACCCGAGTGATGTAGTAACTGGGATACACCAAACAGCTGCCACTCGAGGTTAGTCCGTTCTTACGTCGCCCATGTTAACTTATGGACTAAGGACCTCCTGTCGTTCCCACACATGACATACTTCCTCTACATGAGGATAAGTACTCACGGAACATCAGGATGGACAGCGAGTCTTAACTTATCCACAATCATACTTTACCAAATTTAATATTCAATATATGTAAGAGTCGTTCCTCCCTGGAACGCTCGTTCAAATTCCATAATCGTATAATCATTCAAAATAATGTTCACACATCAACAACTTAAAATTTATCATCATCTTTAACTTCAGTTTTAAAAGTATAAAATAACGAACGTTCATACTTCTGAAGAACGAAGACGAACGCTAAGGACTAGATTTAGAAGATTCGCTGTCAATCAGAATAATTCAACACCTACTTATACGACGAACGTAAATGCTACTCGAATCAGTTGAATGAACCGACTCTTAGAGATATAAAATAAATGTTCAGAATAATTTAGGTACAAAGACTCTAGGCCGAATCCAAAGGGATAAAGATACAACAAGACAATTATTTAATTATACTGAGATCAATCTGTTTAAAGGGATCGACTGCCAGTCAATGACCGAACGCGATAATATACTTTTACTAATAATTTGGACGAACGCTATTTACGCTCATTTAGAAATCAACGGTAAGGACGAGCGTTCGGTATAAGACCGAACACTACTTAGGACGAACGCTAGGTAGATGACCGAGCACTAATTAGGACGAACGCTTAGTCTAAGACCGAGAGCTCATTAGAACGAACGCTAGGTATACGACCGAGCGCTGCTTATGACGAACGCTAGGTATAAGACCGAGCGTTACTGATTTTAAAGTATAAAGTTATTCGTATACTGCTAAGCTGAACCGAGCGCTCAAACCTAGCATTTCACAAGAGGACGCTCGTTCTCGATCAGAATTCTTTCCGAATGAAAGAATTCCATTTTAAGTCATTTACTAGGAAACTGAACGATATAAGACCGTTCAACGACGAGCGTACATTATCAAGGTAAGAATTATCATATTCAGATTTTTCATCTATTCTAACTCAACATTTCTCATACGATTCATAATCTTATAATTTCATATTCATCATTTAATTCACATACTTTATAGAATTCATATTAACAACTCATACTATACAATAATCATCCATTTTCCAATTCATACGTATCAACCAACACGTACCATATTCATTCATGCATAACAGCGATTGTTCAGGCATACTCAAACAGCATACATCTCATACATTCAGTTCATATCATGCTTGCACACAACATCCAAGTATAAATTAAGTTAATAAGCTTCCCTTACCTGGATAGCAGTGTACGTCCTAAGAGTGTGATTTTGACTCGTCCAACTATGGCTTTCTACCTTCAACTTTTTCCTTAAGTTCCCCAACTAAATCTAACCAAAAGAAAACGCAGAAGAATTTAATTTATACCCTTGCATGCAGCCGAATCTTGGTTTACATGTTAACCAGAACGAACGGTTAAGAAGCAGAATACTTACCAGTACCAGAACGTTGCAATGATCGGTTCAAAACGAAGCTTAAGACACCGGGAACGGTTCTACGGTTTCTGAAACGTGATCGGAGATCGGAGAAGAGGGTGGTGAGTTACAGTAGAGAGAAGTTGAAGGATTCTAGAGAGAAGGTGGAGAAGAAGAAAAGTCAGGTCTTGGTGGAGAAGAAGGTGCATGCAGAGAGTGGGAGAAGTGTTTTCAGAAAATTTAGTTTTCTTCCCCAAAGGTCAAACGAACGTGCACTCTCATGCGGACACCTGTTTTCCACTAACGGTTCAGAAGGTTCTAAAGTGACACTTGGCAGGCTGCGTCAGAGTGTGTGAGTGCGTTTTAATGAGACTGAGTGTGTGTCGCGGTGCATTAATGAAAGCTGACAGGTGACTCAGCAGTGCATTAATTTGATTAGACGTATGGCTTACGGTTTA